CTATAGCAATAATAATGCCTCAGGTGGAAGTAACTCAGTGCAAGAACAAGATCTCCTCAATTATGTTCCTCATGGTCTACTCAATGGGGATATTGCTGCTATCATTGCGAGCCATACTCTGCTCTGATAGGGTTCTCATTTTGTGCTTACTAGGAATGGGGCATATACATGAGGGAACTATGTATGCTGTCCTTCCTTCAAAGTCCAGCACCAAAGAAAGTGATACAGCATGCACAGCTTCCACCTGGATTCACCTTGGATGTCATGGATTTTGAAGATGATTTTGAATGCATAACTGGCTGGCTTTCAATACTCTCATGAGGAATCCAAATTTGGGGATTTGCCAAAGTATTGGCTTATAACCCTAATGGTGACCAAATGATGATCCACCTCCCTGGCAATGGATATGATGTTCTCTGCCATGTCCAAGATTGCTTAGGGTTGACTACTGCTGACATGCCCAGGTACAGAATAGAATCCTACACCTTGCTGGTTGATGCTGTCATGGACTTACTGGATGAAGATGATAAGACAAGGAGCTCCCAAATAAGGATGGATGATGTTATGGCTGATCAAGTGCTGGTCTGCAATTGGGACACTATACTTGGGACAAATGCTGTTTCTATGGTGGCTGCTGAGCAGTGCCTTGGATTCTGAAGTCACTTCAACATGTGCACCACAAATTCATCAAATAATATGATACATGAGGCATATGAGCCCCTTTGCTTTTGGTATACTCAGTCTTTTGTCTGTGGCCTCATAGTCACAGCTTGAATATCCCACTTTTCTTTCTCCTGTGCTTGAATAGTGTTACAAACCTGATTCCTCCAATCCTCTAATATATGCCACCAATTCTCTGGCAGTGGCTTGCCAACAGTCTCATGATATGCCTCCAAGTATTCTTTGGAGAATGGCATGAACCTTACTTGTCTATGAGTGTCATGGTCAACATGCCAGACCTTCAACTGTGCCATAGCTCTTGGCCACTTCCAAGGTATGATGGAAAGCACCATGTGACAAACCAAGCACATCAGGACCAGAAGATTTGTGCACTCCATGAAGATCTTCTCATAGGCTTTGTCATCAGTGATGTGAGTGTGATCTATGCATGGCTTTGACAAGCTTCAATGCACCTTCCACTTTCTTCATGGCTTGTTGACTATCCAGCATTGAACAACCCCACCTCTGGTGGGGTGTGTCAGGCCAGTATTCCCATGGTTATTTCAGACCCTTGGAGACTGTCACGTGGCACTATGGACCCTCATAACATGGACAACACACCCCAGCAACGAGCCTTGGCCCTCTGAATATTCGGCATGATGACTGCAGGTTTCCCCCACAATGGAATTGACCCACACAGATATTCAGCATGCCAATGCCTGCCTTGGTGAGGTATCTAGACAGCAGGATAGTATTGAGCACAGCCTAGAGTAGCTAGTATAAGTAGTTTCCAGACACTCTTGTATCTAGCTTATTCTGCCCCTTTTCTGTTAGCATTATATGGATCCAATTATCCCTTACTGGATAGGCAGACTTGACTTGACAAGTGCTATTTGACTTATTATGATTGACTGGATGGACACTGAGTTCCAATTTATACATACTGACTTTTGATAGCTCAGCATTTGGCTGACTCCCACATTTCTACTGACTTCTCTCTTTCCCTAGCAAGTTCTTGCACACCACCCATCGGATTGAAATTTCGGACACCTTTTGGGTTGGATCAGCATGACAAAGTATATATTGATATCTGAAAGCAGAGAGACATCTATTGTGATGCAGCACAAGCCAGCAATCCTGTGAGCATGGTTAGATTTACTCTTGCCAACAAATGCACTTCACATACTCTAACAGACTGTGATGCTCAGCACACTGGCTGGCAGGAACTTTGATACCTTGCCAGGACAACTCCTCTCCCTTGTACTGGTATTCCAGCAACCTCAACCAGTAAACAAGATAGTTAACCTGATCTTGAATGCACTCAATGCAGCCCTCCCCAAGCAGAGCAACCAGATCAGCTTTTTGAGGCAGACAGGCCTCATCTTGCCAGCTGTTGCCACCATCTAGAGGGAGCAAGGCACTGCATGGTAGACATAGGCTCACACCTCCTCTTTCTCTTGACTTCCTTGTTCCTGGTGTCCTGTACAGTTGTCTTCATTATTGTCTGAGGGAGCCTTTTGATGATGTTATGGATAGTGTGTCCATCTCATGTAAGAAGGATAGTCAAGAACATTGTTGGCAGCAAACTAACTCTCCCCTTTATGCCTTCTACCAGCTGCCTTGTGGACATCACATGGCAAATGCTGATCACCAGAACAAGATGTTTGATAGCTTGTGTGGCAGTATGTGGTGAATGGGACTCCATCCAGAATTCAGAGAGTCAGCCAGCAATAAAATAGATGTAAGATAATCATACACTCATTGCACTGTAAAAGTCATTAATCATGAGATTCAGCCAAAGGATTGGAAGAGTAAGAGCAAAAATAGTCATTGGTATGTTCTCAAGCACAACATCTTTTGTGTCTTCTCATAAGGGTTGCCATATTGTGCTCAAAGGTGCTCTGTAACATGGCTTGAGCTTGAGCTTGAGCAACTTTGGTACAGCAAAAACCCAACTTCACACATGGCACTGAACAACCCCACCTCTGGTGGGGTGTGTCAGGCCAGTATTCCCATGGTTATTTTGGGCCCTTAGAGACCGTTACATGGCACTGCAGACTCTCACAATGCAGATAATGCACCCCAGCAACAAGCCTTGGCCCTCCGGATATTTGGCATGACAACTATGGGTTTCCCCTGCAACAGGATCAACCCACACAGATATTTGGCATGCCAATGCCTGCCTTGGTGAGGTATCCAGATACCAGATTAGTATTGTGCACTGCCTATAGTAGCTAGTATAAGTAGTTTCCAGAAACTCCTGTATCTAGCTTATTCTGCCCCTTTTCCATTAGCATTATACAGATCTGATTATCCCCTTACTGGATAGGCAGACTTATAATTGACTTGACTTGACATGCTTGACTTGACAGTGTTAGGGCAACACAGGCTGACTAAGTCTGCTCACCTAAGAGTGCCAAGAGTCTAAGCAGGCAACAAGGAAGTGGAGTAGACCTGATGACTAAGATCTATCTACAGTATAGGTACCTGTGGATGATCCTAAGAGACCAAGTCTGAAGAGACAGTCCCCAGGCAGAGTAGGCCTTATATTTATACCTCTGTGGTGGAACCTGCTAGAACATCTTGCTTACTCAGCCTAGTCAGGTGATCAGGTCATATGACCAAGGATGAGGTCATATGAGGTCATGCACAG